CGGCAGGAAGGCACGTTTCCAGAGGGGAGGCGAGAGAAAGAGCAGGCGTGGATGCTGGATCAGGGTCTCCTACTATAAAGATAATTCAAATCCCTGTCCAGGCTGGACGTAATTCTCACGCGAAGCTGCTGCGTCCGACTGGCCGAGGGATCGTCGAAACTAGCAGGGTGGGAGGGACTTCTCAGAGAGGATGATTGAACACTGAGTGCCTCTCGCTTCGCATCCGGCTCCTGAGAGGCAGCTTTCGCCCTTCACCCGCTTGACCGGTGAGGGGAGGGGGGGGCTCCGGTGCCTTGAACTCCCAACGGCACGGCGGGGGCCGAATGCTTCCGTCCTGCTCGCTGGGGGGGGGGGCGATCTGGCTCCCAGACAGACTTCCAGAAAGCCAGAGGGCTCTTCCCACCCAGCGACCCCCTTCCCTTCCTCCGGAGGGGGAGGAGGAGGAGGGAAAGGGGTGCTGCGCTTACGAAGGATGAAGCCCACGAGCTCCCCTTCAAGATGAGGCTTGCCGGGGAAGGGCTCCTGCTTGCTCCGAGGTTGGCCGGCTAAGGACTGGGCGGCCCATCCGCCCCCCCCCCAGAGGCGCAGGGCTGGTCCAGCCCTTGTCCTTCCCGAGGGCGGAGAGGGCTGCTCAAAAGTTTAGAAGCCGAAGGATCTGCTCGCGCTCAACAGAACGAGTGCCGCCCAGCCCAAAATCTCCATTCCCCTAAAATCTAGGCATAAGAGTTTCCTTAACAGGAGGGGCCGATGTGTCACTTATTTTATTCGCAGTTTCATCACGTCTTCCTTCCTTCCTTCCTTGCTTGTTGCTTGAATTGGGTTAAGACGTGGGAAGCAGCGGTGTAGTTAAATTCATTACGACAATGTTGAGCGCCCCAGACGTACCCACTTTTTCGAGCCCTTATCTTGCCAACTGGAGCTGGGAAACCGTTGAGCCCCGAGGCTTGTTCTGAAAAAACCAAGAGGAAATTCGAGGGAGTTAAAATAATCGCTCTCTTCCTAGCCCCACCTTTTGATCTCCGATCCTAGAATTAGACGGATACACAGAGATTTGGGAAGAATGTAAAATAAAAGTGGCGTCTCCAGCTCCCTTGCTGGGAAGAAAATGGTACGTGAAAGGTTGCTTGTGTTGTCGTTGTGGGTTTTTTTTAAAAAAAGAAGAAAAGCCTTCAATGAAATCTCATGCCTATACTGGGTGACGCTCAGGCTCAGAAGACCGATTCATCCCCTTAAAACAAACACATCAGTGATTGCAGGCTCCCAAACGTGAGAAGCCTTTAAATATGCCACAAGGATCCAAAGAAAGCAAATTCATTCAGAGAGAGAGAGAGAGAGAGAGAGAGGGAAGGACGTAACTGAAACTACTGCCAGGAAAAATGAGTGGAGAAACAGGATGTTAACCACACTATTAAGTGGCTCTGAGGCGAAGCCCCCTCCTCCGCCCCACGGCTTGAGCAGTAGGGAGCTGCGATGTTAGCCTTTGGGAGCAGGAGGCAGACTGGCAGGCAGTTCTGCAAGTGTAAAGATTAGCCCAGGAGCTTCCCGGAAGCCTGTAGCCGACTGTCATTGAAAACGGTGGCAGGCGTGCCCCTCACCAGAAAGGGAGCAGAGAGGGGCCATTGGGAAATCAATGAAAGTAGCCTGATTCTAGATATCAGCTGTCCAGTACTTTTGAGACTCTGTGAAATATATCCATATCAGTATTACATATACATGTACCGATGTGTGCTGTCAAGTCACTTCTGAGTTACTGTGAGCCTAACAGAGTTTGGAGGCATTTGAGATGTTCCAAAGAGTAGTTTGCCATTGCCATCCCATGGCCAAGTGTGGATTTGAACCCAGGTCTCCCAAGTGCTAGTTACTTCCAACCCTCTACCCATCACATGACACTGGCCATCCAATACATATGCATAGAGGTATATTAGTAAATATCATATCACATACGGAAAGCCAGACTGGATTCAGATGAAGGAAGAATGGAAATCGGTGGAAGAAACATAAAATAAAGAAGGAAGAATGGAAATTGGTGGAAGAAACATAAAAAAAAATTTAAGATATGCAGATGACACCATCTTACTGGCAGAAAGCAGCAATGACTTGAAACAACTGTTAAGTGGAAGAACTGTATGACTTGAAACAACTGTTAAGTGGAAGAAGAACTGCGGGACTGCAGCTGAAGGTTGAGAACACGGAAATCATGACTACGGAAGTACTACTCAACATTATTGCTGACAATGAAGAAACTGAAATATTTAGAGATTTTATATTTCTTGGTTTAATGTTCAGTCCAAATGGAGACTGCAGCCGAGAAATTGGAAGACTGAGACTAGGGAGGGCAGCAGTGAAAGATTTAGAAAAGATCATCAAGTGTAAGGATATGTCACTGGAGACCAAGACCAAGTTCCTCCACATTCTTGTATTTTTGATCACCACATATGTATGGGTTTGCAAGCTGGACAGTATAGAAAGCTGTCAATGGAAAAAATGATTTGTTTGAAATGTGGTGCTGTAGAAGAGCTTTGCAGATACCTGGGACTGCCAGAAAGAAAAACAAGTGGGTCCTACTGTATATCAATTCAAGCCTGAACTATCTTTGGAGGCAAAAATGTTGAAACTGAGGCTTTCCTATTGGGGCAGTGGAAAAGACACTAGTGCTCGGGAAGGTGGAAGGCAACAGGAAAAGAGGAAGGCAAAATACACGATGGACTGACTCTCTAATCTACAAGAGCTAAGCAGGGCTATTGAGGACAGGACATTTTGGAAATCACTCATTCATAGGGTTGCCACGGACTCTCTAATCTACAAGAGCTAAGCAGGGGTATTGAGGACAGGACATTTTGGAAATCATAGGGTCGCCACAAGTCGGAAGCAACTTGATGGTACATAATAACAATATTAGTAAACGCGAAGGCTTTCACGGCTGGGATCTAATGGTTGTCGTGGGGTTTTCGGGCTCTTTGGCTGTGTTCAACCTTCAGAACATTGCCAAAGAGCCCCAAAAACCCACAACAACCAATATTAGTAAAGTTTTTTTAAAAAAAATTACACTTGGAAACAACAGCTTGAAAACAATGAAATTATTCCAGTACATCTTTATATTCATTGACCATGTAAATAATAGAATCACAAAATTGTAGATTTGAAAGGAACCCTCTGCCACTGCAGGAAATCCACAGCCAAAGTACCCTCAACTCCTTGCCATCCAACTCTGTTTTAAAAAAGCTCCAATGAAGAATTCGCTACCTTCCAAGGCAGTCCATTCCACTGCAAAATAGTTCCTCCTATCAAGAAGTTTTTAATGTTCAGTCAAAATCTCCCTCCTCGCAATTTGGATCCATTAGATCAGGTTCCTCATCTCTGTGGCTGCAAAAAAACAAAACAAAACAAAAAAACACCACCAAGCTGCTTCAGCTTCCACATGGCAGCCCTTCACATATTTGAAGATGGTTTTCACATTATTCTTCATCTTCTCTGCTCCAGGCAAAACATACCCAACTCCCTCAACCATTCTTCAACCACTTAGGTGAGTTCCTAAGAATATACAGTGGAAAGAAAAAATGCATGTTGTACAGATGCTTGGAGAATCTGGACTTGCTAAAAATTTGAAGTTAGTGTTCATCATAAGACAAACTTAGTTTTTCTGCCACCTAATTATGGAATTGTGCCTTGGTGGGAGCGTGTTCTTCACTGAACTCATGGATGGAAAACTATCTTCCTGTTGCCTATTAATTTCTTTATAAGTACTGTAAAGCAAAAGTCCCAGTCTAATGATAGCTATAAGTTTCCCAACCTGCTGTTTTTAATAGGAGAGGGGGAAATGTCATTCTCCCTTCTCCTAGAATGACAACAATAGGGTGCAAAATGCTTAGTTGTGGGTGGTTCACATGCCCCCCCCTCTTTTAAAGATAGCTAAATCTTGAATGAAAGAGTTTAGGATTACTGGGGATTGGGAGAACCTTCCTTTTAGTTGCCTTCCACCCAGAGGCTATCATCCTGCTCAAATCAGCATTTGATTCATATTAAAAAAGAAAGAAAGAAATCTGTCTAAACCAGGGTGGGCAACGTGCAGGGTATTTGGGCATAGGCCCAAATACACTCTCCAGCACAGCTGGGGCCCCACAACCCTCCCCCCCCAATTTAAAACATTTTCTCTCAAGTGCCTCCAGGAGCTGGGGGGATTTTGGACATTTTGAGGAACCCCCCCACACACACACACATCATGACTCTCATCTCCCCAATGTAACGTGATGGTTTTGTTTTGTTTTTCTTTTTAAACAAGTTTGGATACCAGAGAGTTTGGGAGGATTTTTCAATCTAAATAAAGATCCCATTTGTAAGGGGGAAAATAGAAGTGGTGGTCGTGGGCTGCATGCAGTTCATAAACTGCTGGTTGTTCAAACCAGAGTTTGGCTAATTCCAACAGCCTTCTGCAAATAGCCATCCAGGGCTCTGCAAGAGCAATCTGTTCTTTCTGCAAAAGCCTGCTAGGGTAGGAAGAGAAAAGAGGAAAAGAAATGGGCTTGTTTGTTCTTGCTCTATCTACAGATGTCAATCTCATCACTAACTGCACATTGTCATTGAAAGATTACCTCAACAGAATGCAGCTCTTG